GGCAGAGATGCCATCTTCAAAGAGTTCCACTTCAAGGATTTCAACCGGGTAAGGAGCACCAGTGGCATGTGGAGGTTTACACACTGGGAGACCTGGTTTGCAGAGCAGGGAGTCCTCTCTGCAGGGCTCAGCCACAGAAACCTCTCCTTGTGTGTCCTGCAATGTCATGGCTGGGCAAGATCACCTGCCCAAGACACCAAAGGGCTCAACCCAGCACAATTTGTCTGGGAAGTAGTCCTTACAAAGGGGAAAACACATAGAAAAGCCCAACAGAGACACTTAACATCCCAAGCCTTGCATTTGTTGGGCTACCTACAAACATGCAGGTTAAAATTAATAGTAATGGGGTGCAAAATAATAGTAATGGGGTGAAAACCAACAGGGTAAGTGGTTAACTTTCCTTCTTGCTCCCCAGGCTTTTGGCTTCATGACCAGAGTGGCTCTGCAGGCAGAAAAACTGGATCATCATCCTGAATGGTTCAATGTGTACAATAAGGTAGGAAACAGGGATGGTTGGGGCAAATGGAGCTCTTCAGGGAGCTCATCCCATTTTTGAGGGATAAACCAGGAACAGCAAGTCCTGTCCACATCAGCAGGAGCTGTTCCCTCAGGTGCTGTTCCCCTGTCACAGCCTACAGCTACCATAGATACTTCCTTTCCTCCTTGTTTTCCCCTGTCCAGCAGCTGCAACCAGGGTATCGTAAGTAGCAGCAAGGAAGGGGAAAAGCTGCTGGGGAAGGAGTTGAGAAGCGTGCACAGGCAGCTGCTGTGACCCAGGCAGGGGTGGCACTAATAGCTCCTGGCCAGGAGGAGCTGCAGGAAGGAGAAATCCAGGCAAAGTGCCGGAACAGCTCTCCCACCCTGGGACTGGAGCTAACTGCCTCCTGGGATGCAGCACTGGAGGAAGCTGCCCTGCTCTCTGCTGGCAGTGCTCAGTCTGTCTGTGTATGCTTTAGGTTCACATCACGCTGAGCACCCACGACTGCGGAGGCTTATCGGAGCGAGACATCAACCTGGCCAGCTTCATCGAGCAGGTTGCAGCTTCCCTCTCCTGAACACACAGCCATGATGCCAAAAATCCTCTGTGCTGCTGCTGCCACAGTCCATCTCACCGAGACAGCTGCATCCAGAGCCTTCCCCCACTTCCAAGCTGGATCCTCAATCCAGACTCCTCACCCTGCTCCCTGCTGTGGCTCAGGTGGATGAAGGCACTCCTCAGAGTGCATTTATCCATCTCTATCTTGCCACTTCCATTCCTTAATCCTTCCTTAGCTGTGTGCTCCAACCCAAGTGCTGCCCAGGGAGTGATGTTACACAACTGCAGCAGTAACCCTTGCCAGAGCCTGACCCCATCCACCCACTGTTGTTGCTTCTTACCTACTGGATTATGTTTTCTGATTCGAACATGTTCTGTGCCCCCTTTGGTTCTCTAACAAACCAATGTGATGTGTAGTTTGCTACTCGTGTAACCTCTCTCAGCAGTATTAAAAACAGGCAGGTGGGCTCACCCACACTGTCACCAGCTCTTAGCAGGACACCAACTGGTCCTGTGTACAATAAACCTCTTGGTTAACCTGATCTCAGCTTGGAGGAGACCTCACTGAGAAAATGGCACCAGCAAGTTTCCCCAAGGCAGGTGCTGCCCTGATTGCCCTCAGGGAAGTACTTCTGCCACAGAAAAACTTGGCAGGGCACATGCCTTGGCCTCACAGTGATCAAGATGAGAAGAGGTGATCAAAGCCAGAGCAGGTCAGAACTGCTCAGGTGAAATCACGTGTAGCCAAGGCACAAACACAGGGAAGGTACAACCAAAAGGCACACAAACAGCACAGCAACAGGCCAAGGGCTGCCCACAGTGAAATAGTCCCCAAAGAGAGGTTGTGGATGAGTTTGGTGGTGCAACATCTTCAGCAACACAATGAACAATCTGCAAAACCCAACAGTATCTGCTTTCAGCACAACGGTCTGGGAGGAAACACTACAAACACCCAGCTCAGGTCTTTTTTCTCCTCTTTGTTTTAACCTTTTGAAGTTCTACAAAGTATTAAATGAAAATCCATAGGTCTTAGATGAGAACTTTCAGCATCTTTGCACCTCACACTTGAGGCAGCCACAGACACCACCTGTGTCTCACCAGAAGGACAGAGCAGCCCTGAGGCAGTGAGACTCATAAACCACCCTCCCTGCCCCAGGAGCAAATGGCAGGAGCAATAAGTCTCCATTTATTCCAATGAGCACTGAAGCAGAAATAAGAGCTCGGTGAGCCTGGATAGCTAAATGCACCATTTTAATACAAACTAGGCCCATTTTCACAATCTCTCCAGTTGTTCCAGCCTCCAGTTTCACAGTGGCAAACCAGAGCAGTACAGACACTGCCATCAGAGGAATTTGTCCCATTTGTTCATTCCAAAGTCACTGTGGATTTATTGGGCTAATATTACTGTGTTGTACCAACCCTTCCACTCCTCTCCCCCGAGTCAGCAGAAAAGTGCAGGTGAAATCCATGGCATGAAGACACACATCTCTTCTTGGTCCATCCCAGTGGATATTCTTCAGTCTAGTACCTAAGAGCAGGCAGATCCCTTGGGAGTGCTTTGGACAAGCTACAAATTCAGTGTCCTGCTTGGAAGTCTCACAGGAATTAAAAATTGAAGATCCATCCAGGTCTGAAGTACCATCCAGGTCCAGATCATAACCCAGTCTATCAAATCCTTCCTTTTTGCCTTTTAAATGATCACACAGCCTGTTAAATCCATTTTTCTAAGACCATTTGGCATGATAGAGGAGATGCAGATTACATGTTAGGTGACAAGGATGAATAAAGACTTTACACAGGTAAATTCAGTGGCCAACTCCTGGCCAGGTTACATTGACAGCATATAGAACAAACACACATGGAACAATTAAACCCACAAATATTATTAATAAGCAAAATCCCAGAATAGAATACATTGACTGACAAATAACACCTTCAAATACATCCAAAAATGTGAAATGGAGCACTGATCTGTTAGATCCATCTACTTCCTGGGAGGAAGATGCAACCAGGGAGGGAAGAGAAGGGAGTCTCTCTCTCTTCAATCTCCCCCAATCCATCCCTTCTTTCTTTTAAAGCAGGAACAAGAGTCCCTCCCTCCCTTTTTCGCTTTGCTCTGTTAAATCTCGGTCCCAAAGAGAACCATCACTGCAACCAGACACTTAAGACTTGTCTCCAGGACACTGCAAGCTCAGAGCTGCAGTAATAGTCACCTGAACACAACAGATAGGTCCAACACAAACTGCCAGAGCTGCTAACACCATCACAGACTCTCATGCAGCTCAAGAATTTGAAGAAGGCTCAGAGACATGCAGAAAGTCACTGATTTCAGGGCAGTTGGCTAAAACACTTGTGTCCCCTAGCACTGAGATGAAGCTGGAAAGTAAGTCTCTTTCCCACAGTGGCTGTGCCTGAGGCTGCACTGCTTAGTGCATTGCCTGGGAAAGAGCCTCCTCATTGCATATAATTCCCGTGCAAGTGTGAGCTGCAGGTGTGTGCAAAGAGTCAGCCTGGGGCTAGCAGGCCTAGCACAGCAGTGACACAGATGCCTCCAGACACCCTGCAAATGTGGCATGAGACCTGCCTGTGAAACTCTGTGCCATGCCAACAGCTGGGAGGGAACATGGCAAAGCCCTGCAGGAGGAACGCTGCTGCTGCTTAAAAACTCAGGACATTCTGACTTGTTCTTGAGGCCACAAGTGCTTCTCAGGCTGTGCTGGGAAAACAACTCTCCCCAGGAAAACAGCAGAGAAAACTAGGAAGGCTGAGCCACATGCCCACGGCTTGGACACATCTGACATCCTCTCCTCTACCTCCAGAGCATCTTTGTAATACTGTGAAGGGACTTGGCTCAATACAACCACTACCCTACCTTACAGGCAAGCATGTTCCCTCTGAGGCCAGGCTGCCTTTGAGGTTTATTTCAGCATAGTACCATGAAGAGACAACCACAGCCAAGGTCACAGCCCACAGCTGAACCCTCCAACCCTCCCTGGCAGCACACAAGAACAAGCCAGAGGAGCATCAAGGCACAATGGTGAATGCCCTTTTGAGAATGTGCCTTAAAAGAATCAGTGCAAAGAGCTGAGAGTACTACAAAAGTCACCTTTTTGAGACTAAAAGTGGTAAAAAATCCAGGTGAGCTTTGGCTGCCTCTGCTACAGCATCTCAGGGGACAGGGCAAAACCTTCAAGTGAGCAACAGGGCCATGGGTTTTGCACCTGCCTCCAGAATTGTGCAAGGCAAACAGCATTCCAGGTGGGAAATGCGTGTCTGGGAGGGGCAAGGAAGCAAAACAGCCACCAAGGGTTTGCAGTACCATCTAGTTCCTCTCCCTACACTTGGTTTCTGTTTCTGCTCATATCCAAGAGATTCCAAAGGGATTTTGTGCTGTTTTTTCCCCTCAGCAGACATTGATTGCAGCCTCACTGAGCTATCCAAAGGGGGTTTCACAGGGAGCACACAGCCATCTTCCCTTTGCCAATTGCCCAGCCCTGCATCACACAGACACAATGCTCCCAGCAGGGTCTGCTGAATGCAGGAGCTTAGAGGAATAGTCCAAAGAAAACAACGTTTTTCCATCTATTTTCTGGGAAGACCAAGGCTTTGGAACACAACATGAGAACTCAGATCTGACACCTGGCTGGACATCAGGTGTGAGGAGAAGAAACAGCAAGGAATGAAGTGAGATGCAGAGTACCTGAGGAATTTGGAGCTATGGAATGGACATTCAATTTACCATGATGAAAACAGGCAGGGGGAGGGAGGAAAAGCCCTAAAAATTGAAGTTGGGCATGAAAATAATGCAGATTTCAGAACAGACTGAGACAGGGAAGGGATTTTTCCAGATCAAGCCACCCTCGGGCCTGCAGTTGTAGGAACAAAGCCTTACTGCAATCTCTTCCCCATAGGAACCTTCTGAACCACGCAGTGTAGCTGGTAAGGCACTGATTGTTGCACAAAGTCAGTGGTGGCCTGGAGAGCCATTCATGTGCTTCTCACTGCAAGTAACATCTGTGCTGTAGAGGCCATCCAGGTATGCCTGCGAGATCTCTGCCACCAGGCTCCTGTCTGGGACGGACTGGGCCATTCCATAGATAGCTCCCTGGGCAAAGAACAGAAACTTGTTACACAGGGTCATCAATACACTCAACCCAAACACCCCCTCATGACCTGCTGGCCTCCTTACCATGCCAGTAGTCTTGGCACTGAGGTCCTTCATGATGTCCTCGATGCTGTCCTTGACATCTGTCAGGAACTGCTGGGCCACGCCAGGCTTTGTGTGCAGCTGTGTGATGCACAGGTGGATGCTGGGCAGGCAGGGCAGAGAAGAAAGATTAGCCATCTCCACATTTTCCAAGCAAACATCATCAATTTATCCTTCTCTGGACAGTGATCACTGTGTAGCTCCTTAAAACAGCATTCCAACTAAAGGTAATCCCTGCAAAACATTTGATAGGACCAAGCTCAGAGACTTCAGCTCTTCTATTGCAAAATTCAGCTCCTGCTTCCTTCCTGACTTTACCAGTAGGTTAAAGGCTTATTTTCTCACTTCATTCAAGGTACCTCTGGTGAGAAAGATGCAGCTGCCTGCAAGCAAGGTGATCCTTGCCATCATTTCCCTCTCCTTCTTCTGCAGCTTCTAAGCCATCACCATCCACAACACAGAAGTTAGCATACACCAGAAGGGACAACTGCACACACCTCTGAGCTACCCCAGCCTGGAAGTTAGCATCTACCAGAGGCACAGGGCTACACATACCTCTGAGCTATCACCTCAGGCTCTCTAGACCTTGCTGCATGCTGCCAGTTGAAGTCTTTTTCAGTGCAGCTACATCTGAGAGCTTTGGCCCCTTTTACACACAGAAACAACTACCGTCTTAAGGAAAGTCTCTGGCAAATATTAATTTCACATCACTGAACATGATCAGCCCTTCACTGTTCTTTCAACTACCTTTGTCTTCAGTGAGCAGCAGGAAAATACTAAGCCTAAATCAATCAATCTGCAAGCCTCAGTTAGCCAACATGAGATAAAGCCTTGGCTATTTCTATTTTTCTGCTTGTATTAGAGGTGAACAGGGAGACTCAGACTAGTCTGCCAGGCTCATTACAATGACTACTGCTCTAACCTCACTGTGATATATCAGCAATTACCAAAGTAATTCCTTCTCTGCAGAGGAAAAGTCTACACACAATTTGTCAGATCTAGACAGCACCACTCAGCACATCACTAGGGCTACACAGCCTGAAGATGACCATCTTGCACACCCTGGGCCAGACCCACATCACTCCTGGGCTCAAACACACACCTTGGGGGAAACTGCAGGACATTGAGGTTCCATCCCTTGGCAGCTAAGAAGTTGGAGAGTCGGTAAATGTCAAAAGTGTCAGAGCCGATGGAGAGCACAGACACCTCTGGCTTCCCCAAGATGAAGATGCTGTCAATTTTCCTCAGCCTTGAAAGGAAAAGGGAGAAAAGAAATGAGTGTCCAGGGTTACAACAGAGTTCATTCTGCCCACCTAGCTGAAGCCTTAACGGAAAAGCTGCAGAAAGGAACAGGTGACAGCGCATCCCTACCCAGAAATCACAGAGCCACCCCAGGCCATTGGGACTTGAAAGAGGACCTGGGACATTTACATGCCCTAAAGTCAGAAAGAAGTGGAAAAGAGGGAAGGCAGAAAGGCAAGGAAAGGCATGGAAAGGCAGAAAAAATCAGCTTATCTCACATAGCCACACAAGCACCCAAAGAAAAGAGAGTATAACCCTTCTTTTGTCCTCCTTCCAGATTCCCCCTCAACTATGGCTGAGGCAGAAGGAATCCCCAAGCAAAGTCAGCTGAACAAAGGTGCCTGCACCCACCCCTCTGCTCTGGGCATCAGAGTTGCCCAGTAGGTGCCCACCCAGCAGGTCCCATGACATAGCTCCTCCAGAGCAAAAGCAAGAGAAGCAGCTTGGGAGGAGGAGCCCAGCACAGGGCTGAGGAGCACAGCCCAAACATCACAACACACACATACTCTGACTCGAGGAAACGAGCTGTCTTGATGATCCTCCTGGTGGCCTCCACGTAGCCAGACTCTCCTATGTGCAGCAAAGTGGCCCAGCAGGCAGCTATGATACCCCCAGCCCTGGAGCCTGCCACGGAGGGGGAGGCATAGATCCCTCCTTGCCAGTCAGGGGCAATGAAGAACTGGTACTTCCTATACTTCTTGTCACTGTAGAGCACCACGGAGGAGCCCTTGGGGGCATAGCCATACTGCAAGAGGCACAGAGAGTGTTAGAAAGCAGCAGGAGGGACCTGGGTCACATCCAAGCACTCCCCAAGATCCCGTTTGCCCATACTGTTGATGTGCTGGAGGGCAGGAAGCTCTGCAGAGGGATCTGGACAGGCTGATCCATGGCCGAGGCCAATGGTGTGAGGATCAACAAGGCCAAGTGTTGGGTCCTGCCCTTGGGTCACGCCAGCTCCTGCAGAGCTCCAGGCTGGGGCAGGAAAGCTGAGCTGGGAAATGAGGGTGCTGGTGACAGCACCTGAACATAAGCCCAAGTGGACAAAAGGCCAAGGGCATCCTAGCTTGAATCAGCACTATTGTGGCAGCAGGACCAGGGCAGTGACTGTCCCTCTGTGCTGGTACTGTTGAGGTACCTCCAGTGCTGTGTGCAAGAGACACTGAGGGGCTGAAGTGTCCAGAGAAGGGAATGAAGCCAGGGAAGGGGCTGTAGAGTCGCACCTGAACATAAGCCCAAGTGGACAAAAGGCCAAGGGCATCCTAGCTTGAATCAGCACTATTGTGGCAGCAGGACCAGGGCAGTGACTGTCCCTCTGTGCTGGTACTGTTGAGGTACCTCCAGTGCTGTGTGCAAGAGACACTGAGGGGCTGAAGTGTCCAGAGAAGGGAATGAAGCCAGGGAAGGGGCTGTAGAGTCGGACATGTGAGGAGAGGCTGAGGGAGCTGAGTGGGCTCAGCCTGGAGAAAAGGAGGCTCAGGGGGAACCTTCTGCTCTCTATAGCTCCCTGACAGCAGGTGCAGCCAGGTGGGGTCAGGCTCTGCTCCCAGGGAACAGCAACAGGACAAGAGGAAACAGCCTCGAATTGCACCAGTGGAGGTTCAGGTTGGACATCAAGAGGAATTTCCTCATAGAAAGGACTGTCAGGCATTGGAACTGCCCAGGGAGGTGGTGGAGTCACCACCCCTGGAGATGTTCAAGGAATGACTGGATGTGACACTTCTTGCTGTGGTTTAGTTGACAAGATGGTGATGAGTCACAGCTTAGACTCAATGGTATTGAAGGTCTTTTCTAACCTCAGTGATTCCATGACTCTACTTTGGCACACTGCACAGAGCAGTGAAGAGAGCAGCTCTCCCTCTGCACCTCAGCACTCCTGCACACAGCCAGGAAGAAATGCCTGAAGGCAGAGACAGCATTGCAAATCCCAGCCCAGAAATGAAAGCCCTGGGAAACCTTTCCACCCCCTGCTCTCACCTTGTGTGTGTCAGCAGAAATACTGGTCACACCCCGCACACGGAAGTCGAAGGGTCGGCGCAGGGGGAACCCTGCCTTGGCCATGAAGGCGATGAGAAACCCCCCCAGGCAGGCATCCACGTGCAAAGGGATCTTGTACCTTACTGCAAGCTGTGTGGGAACAAAGCAGGAAACGAAATGATGTGGTTGTGGCACCCAAACTCCAGTCACCAACAGCTGTTTGGCATTTCACAGCTAAACCTTTGCTGGACGCTTTGGGAGCATCACACCACTCTGAAGCTGAGGATAGGAGAGCTGGAAGGACTAGAATACTTGTGGGATGCCTTTTCCTGTCTTCCACATATGAGAGGAAAACCAACATAGCATTTTTGCTGTGTTTGCCAAAGGGATGTGACATGGTCTGAAAGGAGCAGCTGCAATCAAGTGTGAGGGCATGAGTCAAGTGAAGAGAAGGGCAGAGGCCCTGGCTGGTTCCAGACAAAATAAATAACTGGAGCACAGAGAGGACAGAAATCAAGAGGCATGTCTGAAACAAGATCCCAACCCTCTGACTCCTACCCCCTCCACACATTCCTCAGCCTTCCACACCGAATTGGCTAAACCAGCCTTAAACCAAAGCTGTTCCACCACGTGGACAATTTAGCTGTCATTTTCTTTCAGGTACCAAAGAACAAGCTCTTCTGGTTGTTCCTAGAGTCATATATTCCCCCTCACTCCCAAACTGTGTCCTACCTACCCTGCTGTTGGCCAACATCCAATCTGAGGACAGCAACACCCTTCCAGCCAGTGCTTCTCCCACTGGTTGATATCCTGAATCCCGTGCTCCTCTTGTGCTGGTTTATTGCTACACAGAATTCCCCAGAGACAGGGAATATCCTACCTCTGCCACCTCTTCAATGGGGTCCATGATGCCATGAGGGAACTGGGGAGCGGAGCAGACCAGCATGGCTGTGTTCCTCGAGATGGCTCTCCTCATTGCCTGGAGATTTAAAGAGAGAAGATGCTCACATTCCACTTACCCAGTGCCACCCTGCCAAAAAGAGATAAAGAGTGAAAATACGCAGAGTCTGGTCCTAAAAACCAACACACAAAAGTCTGCAGAGAGCAAAGCAATGAGCTACAGGCCACTTGGAATCACCCTCAGTGATTCTGGGCTGTTTCTGAAGGACATAATTGATTCTATATGAATCACACAGGACCAAGGGATGATTTACATCCAATGATTTCAAACAGAACCTGATCTGCAATTTCAGGCACATACTCATGTTGGTTTTCCTTATTTCCAGATAACATTCATCCCTCTCTATTCACCATTTGCTACCTGGAGAGCTAAATTTCTTGCTAGATGCTATACAATGCTAATTTGCCCACAGAAAGGGCAGTGTGCTGCCCAAAGCCATACCTGAACATCCACTTCCATGGCCTTGGTCAGGGGGATGTGGATCAGCTTGAGCCCGAAGTAGTGAGCTGCCTTGTCAAACGCTGCATGAGCACTCACTGGGACCAGCCTGGAAAGCAATAGGTTGGGTCAGCCCAGGCAGCACCTAAGCCTCACTGTGAACAGCAGGGAAAAGGGGAGAAAATCCAAACTGTGGATATTGCTGTGTGACAGACACATCACCAACAGGGCAAACAAAGGTTTCAGCCAGCCAAAAGTCATACAGACCAAATCAAGGAGAGAGAGGGACTCTATGTTAGAAACTGCAGTGATAGAACAAGGAGGAAACGGGAAAAACTGGAAGAGGAAAATTTAGATTAGATATTAGGAAGAAGTTTTCTCTGTGAGAGTGGTGAGACACTGGCACAGGTTGCCCAGGGAGGCTGTGGCTGTCCTAACCCTAGCAGTGTTTAAAGCCAGGTTGGCTAATGTCTTGAGCAACATGTTCTGGTCAGAGGTGTCCCTGCCCAGGGCAGGGGGGCAGCACTGGATGATCTCTAAGGTCCATTCCAACCCCTTGACATCCAATGAAATCTTAATGACAAGCTGGGGGAAATCCTCTCTGGGATAGAGCAGACATCTTTATGGCACTGAGCTGCAGTGGTGAACATTTGATCTTGAACAACCCAGAGAAAACCCACTACAGTAATTCCACCCCCTGCATGGTCTTGTGTGAGCCAGAAGCAGAATTCCCAATCAAACTATTTTCTTGTAATCTCCAACAATCTTGTCTCATGTCCCACCACCCCCAACCCTGAGAGGGCACAGGAGATGATACAAAAGGGAAGGAGCAGCACAAATATACTACACGAACATGACATTTGCTGTCTCCCATCTGGAATGGCTGAACAGCCTTAATTAACCTTGTTTTCTGAGGCCTCAGATTGTTCCCAGGGCCATTAATAGCATGCAAAGTGCTAGAGAGGGAAGTAAGGCATTGCTAAGGGGACTCAGCAGCAGATGAGCTCCACAGCTTCATCTCTCTGTACATTTCCCCTCGTAAGCAATTAACCAGAGGAGTATTTCTGATGCTCCATCCAGCAAAGCAGCAGCACATCAGAGACAGCAAATCCTCCATTAGCAATGCAGAGATTAGCACAATTCCTCATTTCAGCTCCAACCAGCCCCAGAGTTTCCAGGCTAAACCCTCTTTGATCTGAATAAACCAAACCCCTTGAACACTTCAAAGAGATTGACAATCTCTGCTCAGGAGAAGCCCAAAGCTGCTATGAGCAGCCTGTCTGGAGCAGCAGACAGGTATGGCCAAACATGTGCTCAGCATAGCCTCCCAGCACCATTCAGACCTCACAGGCTGCTTAAAGCTCCCTGTGCTTTTGAACCATCTCCTTCAGGTTCCTGTCCTCCAGGCACAGCTGAACAGGGAGGAGGTGGCAAGGAACTTGGAAATCAATGATTATTGAGGTCCAGCAGCCACCTGAGCTCAGAGGAGCAGTGAATCCCCCCAGCCCCCCAGTGCTGCTCACATTTCAGGCTGTTTGATGCCCCTCTCATAGGCCAGGTCTCGGTATGCCTTGCAGGCCATCAAGATGCTCTCAGTGCCCCCAGATGTCATCTGTCACAGAGAGAAAAAGAAAACAAGGGAAAACATTAATGTTGCAGAAGGGATAAGAAAACATGCCACAGCATCCCTGCGCAGAGATGTTTCAGAGGCAAGAGATTCACAGGATAACTCAAGGTTCCAAGGACAACAGAAGCCACAGAACAGCACAAGGCAACTCTGATATTCAGCTTGAAAATGCACAGTTAAGTGTTGAATCCTCTGACTAAATGGGAAAGGGAAAAGGGAAAATGAAAAATACTCCACTCCAAGGGAAGGGGGAAAGGGCCAACAACCAACACTCCACTCCAAAGCCTAACAGGAGGGTCATTGCACAGGCACTAGCAAACAGGACCACAGCTCATGAAGCTATGAGTGCTTGGGCTCCTGATCACCTGGGGATTGCTCTCTGGGTTCCAGAGTCATTGTGCCACATCCACAGAAACAGCTGAGTGTGTACTAAGCCAGCTGAGGTGCAGCAGGGTTTATTAGGTCTGGAGCAGAGCCAGGCTGAGGCACAGTCAGCCCAGGCTTGGCACTGCTCCTGAGCCACAAAACCTTCCCAGAACCTGGATCCCTGTGGAGCACAGAGCTCTTCAAGCTCCTCCCTGCAGGGGCCACGCTAGATCTGCTCAGCACCAGAGATTCCAAGCCCTCAGTGACCCAAGAAATGTTACACCAGGAAGAATTTGTGCATGCCTGTCCACAGCAAGTCCCCCAGTATCCAGAAACTCACTGTGCTGTCTCAGCCCTCTCTACCCTGAGCAGAAAACAAGGAGTTTGTAGCAGAAGGTGGGAGAGAAGGTACACACAGATTTACTACAACTCAAGAGCAGCTGCAGATAAGCAAATGGAACTGTTCAGAGGAGGAAATTGCTCAGGTGGGAGGACTGGCTCTCCTTGGGCAGCCTTTAGGAGTCCTGACATGCAAGAGACACTGGCAAAGCCTTCCAAAGTAGAACTTTAACCCAAATGTGAGGTTAAAAGTGTAAGTTGGTTTGCAAACAGCCTGCAGAGCTGACTGCCTGGATGAGCCACAGCCTGGGGATGGGGAAACCTGGGACACTGACATAGGTGAAAGAGGACTCAAAAGCTACTTATGGGTGACTAATTTTGATCCTCAGACCTGCTGAGCCAAATGCAAATTCCCCTTTTAAGCTCCTCCCCCCAAAATAAATATAAAATCGCATTTGTAAGTGATTATGACATCTCTAAGTCTGGGGTTTCCTTTGGTTTTCCCCAGCTGACACAGCTGCAAAGGCAAAAATGCAAAGAAGCGTGACTACTTGACAGTGACTACCGTTAAGCAGAGAGCTACAGGACAAAGTTCACAGGCACATAAACTACTCTGTCACACTTGTCCCTAGCACAGATCCAAGGTAGCAGCAGCTGCTGCCACAGGCAATGTGGAAGTGACTGTCACTCCACAGACAACTTCTGCCTTTTTTGGTAGTTTAAAAGCAAGAGCTGTGGCAGATAAAACCTAGCAGAGCCTCACACTGGGTAAAGACAGTCATTGGGAAGGAAAAGAATAGCAGCAGGAACACAACAGCTTGATTTTATGGGCTGTGTCACTCACTCCTCAGCCCTTCTCATGGAAAGATCTGTCAAGTTGTCACCTATTAGCTTGGGGAAAACCCAGCTGGGGTAAGGCTTTGCCTTCCTGTTGGCTGGAAAAAAGAGGAATGGGATCATGGCATGCTTGTAACTCTCCTTGCAGCACTGCTGAGAATATTGCAATGATTGTGAAAACTTTGTTAGGAAGGACTCGGGAACTTGGGCTTGATGTCACTGAGCACTCCATGCCATCAGCCTGCTCCTTGCTGAGCAAGCATTCCCTACTCTCATCCAGGCGTTCTGCTCCTCACAGAGGACTTATTCTCATTTCAATCCTTAAACCACAACACCAACATCTCACCATTGTATATGCCAAATCTCTCCTCAAAGCCTGACTTATCACCTGCCTGGAGATGCTGAGCCACACACAGGTTTTGGTAGGTCAACACTTGGTAGCAGTTGGCTGTGTGCAGGACAAGGAACAACATCCAGGATGGATCCTCCGCCCAGGCACTAGGACTGGCATGCAGACAATCACACAGAAAGCTTGTCCAGGCAGCTGAAAACCCACCCAAAAAGCTGAATTTCAGCCAGCTCAGCGTCCTAACTTGGCTCACATTCAGCACATCATGAGCCTCCACCACAGAGACCAGAGCAGCTCCATCTGGAGCAGCACCTTTAGCTCAGCTACCGCAGCAAAATCCTTCAGGTCCACATGGATTATACCTGTGGATGGAGCCTGCTCCTTGCTGAGAGGCATTTCCAGCTTGGCTCCTACCAGCAAACCCATCCTGCTGCAGCCAGAGCCTGAATTGGTGTCACAGGATGTGAGCTGCCCAGCACTGGTGGCACTGAGCCAGCACAGTGATTCAGCACCCACCGAGGGCTCACTCAGGGCTTTGTCTCTCCTCCAGATCAAAGCTCACAGGCTCAGCCATGCCAAGGGGAAAGGGACTGCAAACAGGCATTGATCTGAAGCAGTTTCCAGCCCTGTTCTATCGGCAAAAGGCAGAGCTGGGGGCGAAAGGCAAGCAAACACACTTTGGTTCTGGAGTTGTTGTCCAAATGGGAGGGGAGAGAACACAGGGAATAAACCTCCCTCCTGCCTTCCAAACACAGTGTATCACTTCTGCTCCTCTCTCCTTGCAAATCCCACTGCTCCTGAACTTTGATATTCAGGGGAACCAGAGAGGGACTCGGGGAAGATGAAGAGGGACTTTTTGTTAGGAACTGCAGTGACAGGACAAGGAGTAATGTGGATAAATGTGGACAGACAGAAATTTAGATTAGATCTTAGGAAGAAGTTTGTCCTGTGAGGGTGGTGAGACACTGGCACAGGTTGCCCAGGGAGGCTGTGGCTGCACCAACCCTGACAGTGTTCAGAGCCAGGTTGGCTAAAGCCTTGAGCAACCTATTCTGGTGGGAGGTGTCCCTGCCCAGGGCAGGGGGTTGGGACTAGATGATATCTAAGCTCCATTCCAACCCCTTAACATTCTATGATTCTATTACAGCAGCAATAAGAACCTCAATATTACAACAGCAATAAGGGTGTTCAGACACTGGAGTATTGCCCAGGGAGGTGGTAGAGTCACCATCCCTGGTTGTGTTTAAGAGGCATCTGGATCTGGCACTGGAGGACATGGTTTAGGGGTTACAGCAGTGAGAGGTTAATGGATGCACTTTATAATCTTAGATGTCTCCTCCAACATTGCTGACTCTATGAATAAGAGGTACAGTCCCTGCTCCAGAATTTCTTTGGCCATGTCACTACCAAACTACCAGACATGAATTAAATAACCACTTTGGTTCATGGTCTCTACAATTCCGCATTTTCCCCTTCAGAGACACATCCATTCAGCCCCTGCAGACAAAGCTGACCAGAAGTTTCCCTGAGCTGAACAACCCCATGTACTAACAAGCAAACTACAATTCATTTCTAAGCTAACAGTTAAGAAATACACCACAGTGTGCTGCATGGCCATGGTGTCCTGGCAGCCTCCCACAGACCCTGCAGGGTATAAATCCCTCTGGTTGTGTCTATCAGGGTGACCTGCTCAGCACTGCTGATAGGATGTGACAGTTGAAGCTCCTTCAGGACACATCACTCATGTTTCACTGGTACAAGTCCTGCTTCAAAGGTGCAGATGCTACTAGGACAAAGTCTGGGAGCCTCAGAATTCAGGGGGGAAGAGACAAAAATCGGTTTCTAGGTTTGTATCTGATTTTGCCTCCTCTCTCCTGACTCAAAATAAGTGGAAGAACTCACAGAGAGATTGACATCAAACACACACAGGTGTCCATCCACACACACAATCTTTGCCTACATTTCATACCTGCCCTTTCTTTTTAGAGGTCAAAAAAACTACTAAAATAAAGGAAATCAGTGAAACTTGCATAAAAGTGGTGATTTCCCCCCAAATTAGAGGGGAAATCCACAGACTCAGCACTGCAAAACAGAGGGACACATGCACACATCAGACAAGAATAAATTCCTCCTTCCTCCTGCATGTGCTGAGCTTAATTAGCCCTTCCAAATCATTGCAAGAATGTGATTAACAATGCCCGAGTGCTTAAACTCACCAATTCCTGGCTCTTTGCTCCGGAGTAACATGATTAAAGGCAAGAACAATAGCAGCAATTAGAGGGAAACAAGCAGCATCCATCCACTGCTAAAAATGAGTACTTATAAAACTGCTTAAGCCTGGAACATCTCTCAGAGCAATTTAAGGCAAAGGCATCCTGCACCTCCCTCCCACTAGGGCCTTGTTAGAGGTTTATGCTCATGTTTAAAGGAAGGAGAATTACAGCCCATATGGCTCAGCTGAAGCCTGTAAATAATGCAAGCTGCTTCTCTGGTTTAGCATTCAGAAGCCAAAAAGACACAGGTTTCATTTCAGCGTGTATCAAACACACTGGAAACCTCCCAAGGGGAAGCAAGGATTGCTCTTCAGGATTGCTGCTGAGGGACATGTGCCCATGAGCCTGGGCAGGACCAGCAGGGATCCCCAAGCTGCTGAAAGCCCTGGGACAGCACAAATATATCTCTGGGCTGCTTTCCCAGTCTGGGGAGCAGTGTTAGCTCCCAGACTGGGGAGCAGAGTGTTGGTTCCCAGACTGTGCAGCACAGTGTTAGCCCCCAGGGTGCTGCTCTGCAACAGGCTGTGGCCATCAGAGCACCAAGGGAGTCAAACTGCCCCGCTGGGAAGCATAGCCAGAAACCTTGGTGTTTTCCATGCTGTCTCCAGGAACACCAACAAGCTCCACCTGCCTTCAGGGAACACCACCAGGCACACAAAAATTGGACAAGCAGCCTCTGCTGCTTAAATCAGGTGTATAAATCCAGTGTGCAGTGAGACACTGCTGCTCAGAGGTGACAGGGATAAAATTTAGGGGGGGAAAAAAGCAGTTGTTTTCATTTTTAACACTGCAAAAGCTGCAGCAAGTAAACCAGAAGCCTTCTCAGTAGAATGGACCAGCAGATCAATTTAAAGATAACTTAAGAGCATTGCATCCTCCCTGGTTTAGCTTTCAAACCTCTCTGCTTTACTGGTCACTGAAGCCTAACTAGGCAGCCTGAGCCACCAGCCACAGCAGAGCCTTCCCCAGACACAAAGCACAGCATCAGCCTGAAAAAAAAATGCTCTTTCTGAATGACTCTAACTGTCCAAGGCTCCAGAAAGAATTCTGAAATGTGAATTCAGAGATTAAGAGAAGCCTTTGAGCCCAAGTGCTTAGAGAGCATGTGACCTCCCCATCCCCACCCAGTGTGCCTCCTCAATGAGTAGCAGCTCTAGACACTCCACAGCCAGGAAGGGCAATGTGAGAGGCAGACAAAGAGCCCACTGGAGACACAAGATAATTACAGGGATACAATTAATCTGCTGTTTCCGGCCAGCCAAGCTCCAACTCTCCTCCTCCCCTGCAAACTGTCTGTAACTCCATACAGGTTGTGTGCTGCCCTGCTGGCTTTGTGCCATGATCCTCGGCAGGGAGAGGAGGGCAAAGGGAAGAGCAGGATGCTCCAGATATTTGTGCAGGTGTCACCCTGCCTGTGTCACAGCCTGTTATGGAGCCGTTTTTTACCCACTCTGAACTCCTCTTAGGCAATCTGCCTGTAAATGTCAGAGGAGAGGACACAGCTGATGCTTTTACAATGTGTTTACGAAACAAAACCTCAATACCTGCACTGCAGGCTGCAGTAAGCAACATCTTCCAAGCACCCCACAGGGTCACAGAGCCTGTTGTGTATCAATTGATGTCCCAGCTGCTGACAAAAATGTGTTTCAACAGCTTCATACTCAGCCTCCTCCCCACTCCAGGCATCATCTTAGCCATGTCTCAGTGCTGCAAGCCAGGGAGGAGCTCTGGGGGAGGTTAAACACTTTTTATAAGCAAAGAGGAACATTCCTTCTGGAAACTTGAAGGTGGCACAAGGAGCACAGCCCTTAGAGTACAAGGGATACAGCCCTGAGAAGACAAGTCAGGTCATAGGGTGTCACCTCCTGCTCTATCCAAGACAATCACATCTACTCCCACACAGTTGAGTTTCATCTTCAATCCAGTTGGAGTCTGATCCCAACTACACCTACTATAAGGCTACTCCAGAACTTAACCCCTTAGTGCAACTAAGCCTCCAGCTGACAGGTGAATTCCATCCAAGGCCAGTTCATGTCATAAGCTCTTGTATCAACACTGCCCTCCCACACCAACCTTCAGCTGTCACCAGCCTTCTCCCTCCCCAGCAGTTACAGACAGCAAACACCTCACCCCCAGTCTCTCAAGCATCTCATCTGCATTCTGCTCACAAACACAACTATTCCTGCCCAGTTAAGCTGCTTGTTTGCCTGGCAGCTGCACCTGCCCACTGTGCCAGGAGATAACATCTCTGTGTCACACAACATATAAAGAGAGAGACAACTTTGCCCAAGGAATTCAGGATCCTTCCCAAAGGGGAATGCAAAGAGAGGAGGGGAAAAGTCATGATTTAATTTTATAGCAATATTTCACCATGCAACTTCTTATCTTTTGCTCTTCGACCAACACTGGAAGCATCAATTTAAGAATACACATTTGGACTCCTGCTGGCAGTTTTATCAAGGCTGTAAAAACTGGTTCCCACTGTGGCACACTGGAAGGCCACACCAGCCCAGAAACAGCTTTTGCAGCTGTACAGATGATAATAGGTGCTTGTTGGTGAGCAGCCAGCTGGCCTTGGCCTCAGCTTGGCAGTCTGGCAGAGTCAAATTTCCAGCTAAAAGACAGAACTGAGGGGAGCTGTTTATTCCCATCACACTAGGTCTCCTTCCCAACTGCCAGCAAGCCCATGGCATGTTACAGTGGAGAGAAACAAAGCTGAACTAAATTGGTCTTGTCCCAGTTATCTCTCATAAAGCTTCACCAAGAAGAGGAATGAAGCAACCACCCTCCACACAGCTCTGTGGTCAGGGAACACATCAGGATGAGCTCCGGCTGGATAGCAGAAGGCGCATTTGCACTTATCAAAGCTAGAAACATCCCAGATGTTCAGCGCCAGCTGAAGTCAGGTTACTTACAGCACCACAGGAGTTGGGGCCCCCGTTGAAGAGTGTACAGGCAATCCTCACCACCTCTGCTTCCATCTTCCTCAGACCAGGGAAGACATCTGGATGGAGGGGGTTACTCCAGGCAAACTCTTCATACACCTTCAGGAAACAAAGGCAGAAAGTCAGCCTTGCAGATGAGGCACTGGCTGAGTGCAGCTTTGAGTGCTCCCCATGTGCATTGTACAAGCAAATTAGCTACATTAAACCATGAGAATACTACAGAGCTCCTTGTGTTTAACCATTCCTGCAATATCCACAGGCTGAGAAGCTATAGCTGAGTGAAAAACAAACATGTTTTTCTAGGGCATTCTGACCTCTGGAGTGATTCTATGACAAGAAGACGTATTGCTGTTTTAGGGCAGGTTTAACCATTTCACTGTTTTTAAGAAACACAACACACACCCTGTGATTGCTTCACACAAAAGAGGCCAAGAAACTGACTTGGCAGAACTAGTTTTCAAGTTTACTATTAAAGGAGAATTCTAAGGCAACTGGAAAAGCACAAATGTCACCCACAACTCAAGAGAAGTGGCTGTGAAAACCTGCATGGCATGCTCATTCAACTGTGCTCTCTCTCTTGCAGCCCAGATCAAACAGCCACTGCAGGGATATTAAAGGAAATAAAAAATAAACCAGCAACCAAACAGCACAAACAGAGGGAATGTTTCCACAACACGACCCAGGATGAGGTCCCTCCAGAAAAGCGGCTCTGAGCTTTATGTTCTCCCAGAAGTGGCAAAGGAAATGTCAACAGGAGGAAGAAAACTGCAATAGCAGCCACCAAACACAGCTCGTTACAGCTGCTATAAAAGCTGTTTTCTACACTTCCCTTTCTAGCTAAAAAAAACAGACAGACTTGAAAAGAGACCTTTAGGCTGTTTAGGTTATTTTCCAGCCTGCTCAAAGGAAGAAGTTCCTGGGAAGGTAAACAGCCCTAACAAAGCCACCACTGAGGCATGGCCATGGCTCCAGTGTTTGAGATTTGGACCACATAGAAATGCCAGAAAGCACTTCACAAACTTTTCTTTTGTTCAAACCAAGAGGAATTCAGTTTTGCTCAGTGAGGCTGCACCAGCACCAATCTGATGTTCACTTGGAACTTACTTTCTTACTCCAAACAACATGACCAGTTATCTCCACATGGTGTTTGCTCAGGGGCAGTTACTTGGCCTAATTTACACTGCCCAAATGCTTTGCTACTAACTCCCCTTCCCCCTGCATTTTCCCCTAGGCTCTGTCTCCAACCTTGGCCAGTCTTAATTTTAAGACCTTCCCTATTTATTTGGAAAGATGCTGGAACACTGCTGAGTGGTTTGTGGCCACCCTGGAGATGCAAATTGGAAAAATGCTGGAACACTGCTGGGTGGTTTGTGGCCACCCTGGAGATGCAAAATTGGCCTGTTTGCACTTTACCTTCACTAGCAGTTGGGTGAGTTTCTCTTCACCACTGTACACAGTCCCAGAGACCTTCCCATCCTGCCAACGCACGTCTCCTGCAAGAGAAGGAAGAGCTTACTGCTGGCAAACACAGCCATTCCCAGGGAGCATGGAAAAGGGCATGGAAAAGTGCCCTCAGCTCTGCAGGTGAAAACTCAGCTTGGGAATTCAGGGGGTTTTGTGCACCAGATAGAGCTGTGTGTGACCCTGAGCCTCTGGCATTGAATGTCCTGTGAGTTTGACAAACAGCAAGTCAATGGTGACTAAAGTCAGCACAGAGACAACACAGAGCTGCAGCAAGCAGTGACATTAACACGTGATCCACTTAATCCCCATCAGTCTTCCCAAATTGCTGCTCAGCCAACTAAAATGGCTAAGTGAAGTCACTTTCCAAGAGCATCACCATCTCTGGAAGCTGAGCAGAGATGGGAAGGCCAAGTTTGTGCTGCTAACACCTACAGCACCTTAGATTTCACCTAAACTAGTATTTCCCGGGGAGGAAGGGACCTTAGGATGAAAAAACTCAGTGAAGGAAGGAAGGAAGGAAACAATCATTTGAGGGAACACAGAGACAGAAATGACAATGACAATACACAGCAGGAGAACAGGAGGAAGTTATTGCAGGATACTTGACTGAGCAGTTGTTTGTTGCCAAATGTGGAGGAGATGCACTGTTCCAGCAGAGAATTCAAGGCATTTCTCAAGTCCTGGGAGCAGGGCAGTCCCATCTGCTCCTTTGGACAGCAAGTCACCAAATTAACTCATTAGGAGTAACAGGTACACAATCAGATCACTCAAATGAAGTGTCAGACACTACTGATGTGGTTTCAAACCAGAGCATCATGACTTTTCCTTCCTCAAATGGCTTTTTCAAGGTGCAAACCATTATGACTTCAATTAAGAGAGGCTGCCTTGGAAATTCCCTAGAAGTCCTGTCTGGAAGTTGCCTTTTTCGTTTCTATTTCCTGGGGTTTCACAGAACGCTCATTTCTGGTAAAAGTCAAACATGAAGGTGAATGCTCAGAAATGTAATCCAAAAGGCATTCAGATAATGTCCTCCATAGCTCTCAGCTCTCCCAACTCTCCATCAGCCCAGAATCCTTGGGGAAGGAGCAGGATTTCAATCTAAATACCCAAATACAGCATTAAAGTCATGAATCTTAGTCATTCTCAGAAGGAAAACAGACAAAAACTTTCAAGGAAACAGTATTAGGAAAGAAATATTTAGCTGAAACCATGAGGAGTGATTAGAACTCGTTGCAGAGAGTCAGTGCAGTGTCAGGTGTCTGAGCAGACTCACCTTTGGAGCTGTACTCTTTCATCTTCTCCAGCACTTCAGGCTGGCTCAGCCCTTGTTCTGGCAGTGCTTTGATATAATCTTTTTCATCTTTCAGGAAGGACAAACTGGAAATGACATCATTCAAGGCTTCATCAATCTTCTTTTGAATCTAAAAGGCAAGGGAAAACCTATCAGCCAGTAGCACTAGCCAAATGATAAACAAGTGAGTGTGTGCAGGACAGTGCTCACTGCACATTCATGCTGAGAGAACAGAGCCACACAGCTCCTCTCCTCCTTCCTGCCAACCTCTGCCTCCAAAAACCAGCTGCCTGGAATACTGAGCTGGCATGCACTAGGCTCTGAACCACACTGGGGATTGCCTGTGGTGTCAGAACTGTGCCAAGAAGGTGACTGAAGAGTGGCACTGGGGCCACTGCTCACCTGTGCTTCATGTGACAGCACAGACACCTCCACTGCAGCAACCACAGCACATTCTCTGCTGGGTATCAAAGATCTTTGAGTCCCTTCCTTGGTGCTTGAGAAGACAAAACTCTGGGCAAAAAACCTGCATTTTTATCCACCAAACCTTTTAAAGTCTCTGTTTTTAACATGTAGAAGTCTTCAGGTGTGTTATGTTTCATACCTTACCTCCTCTGCCACCACTCACACGAGTCAGAAACAGGAAAATAGAGAGGCACAACACAGAAACTCCACTACAGGAACAGTGGAGAGACTCCTTCCTTCCCACACACACCTCACACTCAGGAAACTCAGATCTCTTCCCACAAAGTAAATATCCTTCTTCTAGGCAACACAGGTGCTGGAACATCCACCTCTGGACATTGGAATGCCTCAAAGTCAAGGCCTTGTGTGAGCAACTGATTAGTTATCAGCTCTCAGCCTAGCAAAGGGCAGAAAGAGCACACAGGACACAGCAGACTCCCCTGGCACAGAAAAGCTTAGTGTTAGGCCTGAGAAGGTAAGCCTGGGCACAGCAGGGATTGCACCAGATGTCCTTGCCCAACAAGCAGCAAAACATACAAGCAGAACTCATCTCATCAAGGGCTGCTCAGGTGAGGACATGAAAGCTGGGACACTCAACAGGACATAGAGGTGCTTGTCCCTTCCAGAGTGCTGGAGGAGAAACTGGAGAACTTCAGTGTTCACAGCACAAGGAAAAAGTTCGTCTGTGCTACTCTCATTTGCTAAAGTTGCCTAGAGCAGATGTGCCCCCCCCCAGATCAATGGGTAAATACACCAACACACTGAACAGAAAGTGCAACCAAATGTGAGACCATCACTGATCAGGGCAAATCAACCCAGATGAGCAGTGCTTTCTCATTGGTCATGTGCTCAAACCTGCTGACAGCTGCAGTTCTGTGCAACAAAAGCCTCACAAACACCAAAACTCATCTCATTTTAATGATTAGACAAACTTCTGATATCTTTGTGTTCTAATGCTTATCTGAGCCCTAAACTGCTCATGGCAGGTTACCTGATTAGAACCAATGTCCTTCTATGTTGCACAACCAACCCTTGGCTATCTCACACCTGACATTGCTACAGAATAACTCAAGTTCAATCCTCTCCTTCCACAATTATTCCCTTAAAATCCAACAATGAGGAAATGTCACTGGAAAATTCTGTAGCCACTCATTGATCCTTGGTTAAAACAAATCAGTCAACAAAGGTGAAACTCCCATTTTATGAGTATGGTAGAAAGACGAGGTAGAAATTATATATGTCACTAAACCAGGTGGCAAGAGAAGATGTTCCAGATCTATATCCTTAGATCATAGGGACATGACAACAAAGATGCACAGAGCTGTGTGACCCTGGAAGTGTTTAAGGAGAGACAGTTAGTGCCATGGTCTAGTTGACATTGGTCGTGTTAGGTCATAGGTTGGACTTGATCTCAAAGCTCTTTTCCAACTTGATTGATTCTGTGATTCTCAGAAACAGACCTGGGATAATGCTACAAGTTGTGGTTCCAATACTTACTATAGTCCCAACAAAAGGCATTTTCCTCAGCAGCTTAAAGAACTGTTTTTTAGTCCGAGATACCAAACCTGAAAGAAAGAGAAAAGCCAGAAATGAACCTAAAATGACTCAAGAAACAAAAAAAAAAAAGACAACACTTGTGATTCAATTCATCCCATGATCCAGGCTCAGCATTCCTGAGCCAAGCTAAAATAACCCAGTGACAAGGGATGTGGTGAGACAGGTGAGTGAATCAAGGAGCAATGTTCAGGATGGCCCATGGTGTGGAACATCTGGACTGCACAACAGCAGCCATCTACAGGGATCAATCATTTCACTTGCTGTCTCTCATACAAGGGAATTTGCACCCAGACGTGTAATTTCTCAGGAAAGAGAGGGATTTCAGGGTTTGCTAAAGGTCTCCAGTAAAAAAAGAAAACGCTTGTTGAAGTTCTGTTCTGCCTCTTCAAATCAGAGCAGCACTGCAAAGCAGAACCATTCAGCAATGAGGAACAGGCTCCAGACCACAGGAGGAAACAGTGACACTAGAGCCAGTGTTAGCCACAACATGACACATTTGCCCCATGCCTACCCATCCCACACAGGAAACACGTGATGCCACAGAAGGAGATGCAGGGAAATGGGAAGGGCAGAGAGAAGAGCAGAAATTCCACCCCAGCCAAGTCCTGGAATGAGAGAAGTCACTGATGACAAGCTCAGGGAAACTCCTGGGGCAGCTCTAAAGGCAGGAATGAGATCAAGACGACACAGATGCTTTATAGCCATCAAAAACGCCTCAAGAGTTCTACAGGCACTTCACTCGTGCCCCAGCAGTCACAGGACACTTACAGCAACAAATAACCAAACCAGGGTTAAAGAATCAACCATTTAGGCCTTCGCAATTTTCTCTACAATTTTCCTCCCACTTCACATATATTTCCTTTCCCATATACAATTTGCAAAGCTCCACGAGGCCACTAATTGGCACATTCTGTAGCAAACTCTCGTTAATGCTCTGCCAAGAGCATTTCTGCTGCACCTCTCAGTGTGCACAGGTTCATTAGCAATTTGCACAGTGAGAAAAGCCTGCACACTCCTGAAACACTCACACAACCTAATCAATCTTCCATCGGCTTGTCAATACTTCAAAATACGCTGTGCAACAGCTACAAATATTCACCAAGGAGGTGAAATAACCCTGAAGTGAGCAAAGGCTTCAATAGTGATTTGGTCCTTACATACATTCCCACTGTTAGCTACTCCAGGTTTACACAGAGAAAGGGAATGGGAACAGAGAAACAGGAAAGTAGATATAAAGTTAAATACTTGGCTATTTGTAACAAACTGTCCCGGGAGTGTAACCCTGAGGCCTGTGGGAACTGAAAAGCAACATGTTCTTCTCTGCCTCTGTGTCTACGAGCACTCCTCTACCTGTGTCTACGTGTGCTACTCTTCCTCTGTGTTCTCCTCCACCTGTATGTCTACATGTTCTACATCTGTGTCTACGTGTGCTCCTGTGTGTGTTCCCCTCTACCTCCTCCACCTCTGTGTGCTCCTCCACCTCTGTGTCTATGTGTTCTGTGTCTACATGTTCTCCTCTACCTCTGTGTTCTCCTGTGTATCTACATGTTCTCCTCCACCTGCCCTCGACGAAGACAAGGTAGTGCTCTCTGGCCACCACATAGGCAGAGAAAACTGCAGGTTTACCAGGAGAGAACCCACTGAAGAGCTGTCAACATCCAAACCACTCAAACGGGAAGATGCTCCGGAAAAAAAGAACAACATCCTCCCACCACCACCACACGCAATTATCTTGCACATCCTGAGGGAGAAACAAGTCTCCAATCCCAAATCAGCCCCATGTCTCCTTCCCCAGCAAGGAGGGGAACAACCAAGAGCTATCCAGACACTCTACAGCAGTGACTAAGTGCATAAGCTCTTGGATAAATCCCCCCAGGGTTTGAGCAACAAGAGTTTGTGTCAAGGAAATGGTTTAGCAAAAGGAAAAAGGGAGACAGGAGAAAGGGAAGGACACAGAGGCAATTCCAGGCTGTCCTGCCACACCCTCTGCAGGAATGGGAGAGCTCCACTGATCTCCCAGACCTTGACCTTCACTTGGAAGAGATTTTTTTCTGTATTAGTTGGCAGCAGAAAGTCCATTTCAATGAGTGTTTGGCTTTGCTTCACCCTCTGTCCCTCCCCTACCTAGGGTAGGGGGTACCTAGGAGGTACCTCTGTCCCCCTTCTCCTCCCTCCAAAGGCAGGCAAATTCCCCCATGTCCAGTACTCACTCTCAGGCTGGAAGAGGAATCCATGCAGCCACACACTTAGGAGAGTAGAGGAAAATGTCAACCCAATGAGCTGCCACGGCTCCAGTCCCTCACACTGCGCATTCACAAAGCTCGTGGCTGTCTCCCAGTACATCTGGAGGATCTCCTTGTAGGGAGTGATGGCATCCTGGACAAGGGAAAAAAACAGTAGCACTGGGAAAAGGCCAAATGCACATAAATGGGGCAGCAAAAAGCTGATTAAAAGGTGTTTTCCAGGATGCAGATTCCATGATCCCCTTGAGCCCTGCAAACAGAATGGGCTGGAGGTTTCCATTCCCTGCCAGCCAAGAGTCACTGATAAAAATACATACCTGGAAAGATTGCAGATATTAAGAGAAGTGCCAAGAGCAGACAAGTAATACATGCTTCTCTGCACAGTCCCAAGAACCACCTCCCGATCTTACCATGGCCCAAGAGAAGCAGCTGTCAGTATTTTCTTACAAGGAATTATCAGGTGGTGAGTGAAGACTGAACTACTGCAGTAACACCTGTCAGAAAGGAGCCACCAAAGCAGGTCTCTGAAGCACCCAGGGCTGGATTTTTAAGGAAGATGCAAGCACTCAACAGCTTCTCAAACTGAAGATCTAATTAGTGTGTCACACAAAGGGAGGATGGAAGAGGCAAACACTGCTGCTGCCAAAATAAATCCCAGAAAACCTGATGCAAATAACAATTACCATGTCAAACCAGTAATCACTGTCAGGACAGAGCACAAGTACCTAATCAATAGTTTCAAACAAGATCCTCTTCAAGGGTGTCAGAGCAGGGTGACAAAGACTGGATGTGCACAAGAGGAAAAGGCTTTTTTCCCCCCCTCAACAGTCCAACTCTTTGAACAAAAGTTTCTAGAGTTAAGAAGAATGAAGAAGAATCCACACTTGGTTTTGAGCTATGACCAATATCAGCTCTTGGGGGGTTGTTGCATGTTACAACCAAAAGCTTGTACATTTTACTTCACAGTTTAAAGCTTCCTCAGCCATCCTCAGAGCTCTCCTAAACCTCCTCCCTTCCCACCAAGCCTAACTTTGCCCAGTTTTCCTGGGGAGATCTCCAGCACTAGAAAGCTTCACCACTCTCCAAAACACAGGGAAAGTACAAGGAGCCTTCCAAAAGTTTTGCTACAGCACAGGTATCAAGGCCAGGTTCCTTCCATCCTTCCAAGGTTTACTCTGGAAGGAGTCCATCCTTGACACCTGTTGGACTCTGGGTGGGATTAGAGCCATTTAAAAAGATGACTATAAACAAACCACTAAAAAACTGCTGAAACTTCCCTTCTGAGGAGCCTTGACAGACTTCACTGCTGGATCAAGCCAACAACAGAAGGAGCATTTAATAACTTCATTTTAGGGGTGACATGTCACTCCAATAGAACTGGAGAGACTACAGTCTGAAATCAGCCAAGCTCTTCCCAATAATCCAAGGAAGAAGGCAGGATTCCTTACCAAAATGCAATACTAATGAATACTTACTGCTGTGGCGAAGCAGTAAAATGCATATAATGTATATTTAAGCAACCCAAAGAGAAACTGCAGCAAAACAACAGCATTTCCCCATGGCAGATGGCAAATATCACCCAGGTCCAGGCACAGGCTGATGGGACACAGCCTGAATTTGGCAGCACTCAGCCCTCAAAAGGCAAATTAGCTCCTATCCACTTGGCAAAGGGCAAGTTAAAAATGAAGCAGCCACTTGAGCCTCCTAACCAAGGCAGCCACAGAAACCACTCAATTAGGTATGTCCCAGGTAATTTCCAGTTCAGCCCACTCACCACAAAGCTGGTTTAGCCCCAGAATTTAGGGACGAGAGACCTTTTCCAGCTAACTAGATGTGGTACATAAGTCCCAGCAAGTTTGCACAATGTGCAAATCCCTGGAAAGGAGTGTTTGAGCAGTGACCACAACTTGGGTTCATTGCCTAGGAGTCAATGACATCAGGCAGGATGTCATTCAGCTTTGGAACTCCACTTAAAGTATGGAAATGGAGCCACTAAAGTTCTGCTGTCTCAAGAGCTGTCCTCAAGTGATGGCAGGAAAATGCTGCAGCATCAGATAAAGTGGGTTATGCTTCTGTATCCCCTGGAGATGGAGGACACTGGAAGGTATAAACCTGAAACCAAATGGAACATGATCTTCTAGACAGAAGACACTTCAGTCAATGGCCAAGCTAAAATAAATCCATCCAGCAAGAGGCTGATTGACTCTTGAAGGAAGCTCTGGACAGCAGATGCTCCATTTAGGAGAGTACAAAAAAGAGGGATTAAAACACCAGTGAAATTCAGCATGGAAGCTGAGTTAGCAGTGATACAGTTTCCCAGATCCCTGGCAAACATTGCACTCAGGTTTTTCAAAGTGCTTCTTTGCCCCAAAGTATCCAGCAAGACATAAGACCTCTACTTTTGGAATTCCTAACTTCATCCTAGAGAAAGCAGAGGCCATGCATGAGGCTACATCCAAATGCTTCTATTGCTCCCAGGAACATGGTGTGTTCAAGGGGCTTTTTCAACCACAGAAGAGTGATTTTCTACATGGGTGGCGTGACATGACAAGGAGGAATGGCTTCAAAATGGGGTTAGGTGGGATATTGGGAAGGAATTCTTCCCTGTGAGGGTGGTGAGGCACTGGCACAGGTTGGCCAGAGCAGTTGTGGCTGCACCCATCCCTGGATGGTGCAGCCACACCCCCATTCCAGGCCAGGTTGAATGGGGCTTGGAGCAACCTGGGCTGGTGGAAGATATCCCAGCCCATGGCAGGGGGTGGAATGAGATGTGCTTTGAGGTACTTCCAACCTCTTTTTCCAGGCAAGAGGTAGGAGGAATAAGAAGCCTCTTAAGCACAGCTCTTGGAATCCCTTCTCCTATAGCCCTGGAGGTTGTGCTCATAACAGAGTGAAAACCAAGTGCATTTCTTTTCCCCTAATCAATCTAAGCCAGAAGAATTGCTCCCCACCCACAGAAAGAAGGGATGCATTTCCAGCCTCCCAGGATTAGAGCATTCATTCACCCCTGCAACTGCTGCTTCCCCAGTAACAAGCTGACCTGATTTTAAACCTGTCTCCAGGACAGAATTCCATAGAAGACAATAACCTGCTTATTTGAAAAGGCATCAAAACCATAAAGGTTTCCCTTGCCATTATAGCAGAGCAGCTAAGCTGATTTTATTTCCTGAAGAGAACCTTCCCTGCACAAAAGCTTCACAAGGCACAGGATTAGCTCAGCAGCAGGTTAAAAACCAACTTATGAGCACACTAAAGAGCAGGGAGAAAGAAATCTCCACTGGAGGACTTGCTGGTAATTCTCAGAGCAGGAAGACAGACTCAGGTATCAGATCACACACTAATTGCTATCATTAGGACTCCCAGTGTTCATTTGTACTGATATTAATGCACTCAGCAACCCAAGCAGTTTACAGACTGAATTTTTAGCTGCACAGCTTAGGAACACATCCTTAGCACTTCATTTCTAAAAGCCATTAGTGAGTTGAGCTGGTTCCAGGGACAGCACTTCTGCCACGACAAAAGAGGCCAAATTAACTGCAATAATGCTCTGCTGTCCCAGCTGAGAGACACCAGGGGGAAAAATGCCAGAGCTAATGAAACACATTCTGCAGTTCTGCCACAACAGCATTTCCTCAGCTGCAGTTTTAGGACTCAAATAAGCCTTGAAAAACAGAGAGAGGAACAGAAAGCAGTAAACTGGAGGACCTCAGACTTTTGCTACAAGTGCCTCCTGTTTTCGACACTGTAAAGGGGAAGCACTGTCTGAATTTACCTGTGGGAAGAGAAGGAAGAAAGGTTTTATCTGCTCAATCTGCCTTCCTCCAGAACAGCATTTAAAGTGGGGCCACAGAGTAATAGTAGCATTTAAGGCAAGTTTATTTTAAGCAATAACAAGAGTCTTAGGCTCACTGTATGAGTAGCAACTGCTAAGATCACAGAATCAATCCCAATTGATTTTGGTTGGGTTGGAAGGGACCTGAGATTGTCAACTTCCACCCCCTACCAGGGGCAGGGACACCTTCCACTAGCCCAGGTTGCTCCAAGCCCCATCCAACCTGGCCTGAAACACTCCCAGGGATGGAGCAGCCACAGCTTCTCTGGGCAACCTATGCCAGTGCGTCAGCACCCTCACAAGGAAGAATTTCTTCCACATACCTAATCTAAACCTGCTCTCTTTCAGTTTCTAATATCTACTCCAAACCTCCTCCCTGTCAGTTTAAACCACATCCTCAGTTTCCACTTGAATCCTCACATATGCCCAAAACCAGGGACCCTCTGCCCACCTCTCTGTGCCTAAACCTTTGCCATCTGTTGTCCCTCCCCTCCCTGGAGCCGAGAAAGGAGGTGACATGTCACACAGCTCAGCAGGTAGTAAATCAGGGATGAGGGAGATGTCTCACAGGACAGCAGAGCTCAGTCAACTCCCATTATGGGAACACATAGAATACAGGAATTGCCACTGTAATTAAGGTCTTTGCTCCAACACAACGAGTTTTTCCAAGGAGAAGCTTCCTGCCTGAAAACAAACCACACGAGGACACAGCAAATTCACTTAGTTATTCTGCTTCTAAGCAGAAGGAAGATGTCAATTAGCCAAGCCTTGGCTAACACCTTGTGTCCTGCACGTGCTGTGGCCACAACAGGATTGTCTGACTGGATAACTACACGCTGCATCCTTCTCAGGGATGTCTGACTGGAGAACCACACGCTGCATCCTTCTCAGGGATGTCTGACTGGAGAACCACACGCTGCATCCTTCTCAGGGATGTCTGACTGGAGAACCACACGCTGCATCCTTCTCAGGGATGTCTGACTGGAGAACCACACGCTGCATCCTTCTCAGGGATGTCTGACTGGAGAACCACACGCTGCATCCTTCTCAGGGATGTCTGACTGGAGAACCACACACTGCATCCTTCTCAGGGATGTCTGACTGGAGAACTACACGCTGCATCCCGCCTGGCACAGGGAAGCACTGGCCACAGCAACCAGCTTCCTTCTGGGCCAGCCAGGGAATGGGATTGAGCAAGAGCAGCTCGGAGGCTGCTAGTCACTGCATGTGCCTGCAGTGCTTTGGTTGGCACCCAGTAATGACTGTGT